TCAGTGAGTAACTCTCTCTATTACTCTCAATTGTTTGACAAAACAAGAGCTTCAGTGTTTCCAGCAGTTACCTGACATGTCAGAACAGCCTGGAGGGGTTAACTCTCTCCATTGGCAGCCGCCTCAGCACACCTCTCCCTTCTGGCACCCACGGATCCCAGCAGCGATAAGAGGCTTCCTTCCCGGTAGTTACTGCCATGCTAAGGTGTAATTATTCCATTGCATTGGGACACTATGTTCAAGATGAACAATATGGGAAGGGACGAGACTTGGGGGGGAAAGCCTAGAAATCACAGGGTATCTTGTTAGGAGGGAGATAAAAAGAATTAATTTATTTCTGCTAGGGAAAAGTATATTTAAAGGTTCAAATTCCTGCACTGAAAATCACCCTCATGAAATTTAACTCCAGCACTTCAAAGTCGAAAAGCTAGTATTTAGTTATAGATGCGCTGATGGGTTTTTTCATTGTAATTTTAACCAAATAGGACTAATGTAAGAGATCTGAAATGCAACTGCTATGTTTGCAATGTGCCACTCTTATAAAAAAAGGAAAATTACTGTGCTCTGAAGATTTATGCTCCCAAACCACCTATCCTTCAGTTTACATCATAAAAACCTGATGAATCCAACCTGGTAGTACCAGACCTCGCACAGAAAGAGGAGCAATTTCTTACGGGATGCTCATGCCCAACACCTAAGATTCCACAGGATCTAGGCTCCACCAAAGCTCTGCCTTTGTCAAGTCACAGATTTGGAACTAAATCCTGTATTGTGGCCTAAATCTAATCCAACTGCTCTTTCCTCAGCGATGTTTTAACTTATCTAGCATAAGAGGAAACTTATGAAGAACCTGCCAGTCACCATCCTTGTAGGTATAGCTAAACGCCAGAGCAATCCCTCTCTTTACAGAACCAGAGATGTCTTTGGTTATCAGAATGTACTAAAAAAAAGTTGACTTTTCAACATTACTATTTTCCTCCCCAGTTTTTATTTTTTTGTGCAGTTTGATACAGTTAAGCTTTTCACCTTTCTCTTTCATCTCTACTCTCTCCCTTTTTTCACTCATTCCTTTCTTACCGCCCTTTTCCCATTTTGCTTCTGAAGCAAAATGGAGGGAAGGGGGAACTGAAAATGCACCCAAGCACCAAATTTCTTTGTACTGGCCTGGAGTTAAATGAATACTTTTTTTTTTTTTTTTTTTTTTTCCATCCCCGCTGGGACCTGGGGGAACTTAGCATCTTGCAAGATGAGCTCAGTGCTTTGCAAAATTATCTAAACGGTGGGTACAATAAAAGGTGGGTCCCAGCCAGGACTCCGGATATGAGCACTTTCCATCCCTGTAGGGGAGTTTGGATTTCGACATCGGGGCTTGTTCCTTGCTGTTAGAACTGGAAGCCCAACACCCCTGAACATCAGGAAGGTTCAACCCCATGGGAACACGTGTCTGCTCAAACTCCTCCGCGAAGTGACAAGCAGCCCTAGGACAGGAGATCTGGGTGCCTGGGACACCCAAAAATCAGTAGCCCAGCCTCAAAGTCTAGCTCAGCTCAGCCCAAAGCAAAGGGGAAGAGTTGCTCAATTCTTTGCATTTCAGTGACAAGACCAAAAATAAGCACAAGGGAGGAAAAGGAGCACTTGCCTACCAACAATAGCTGGGATCAGTTTGTTCAATTCTACTAGAATTTGTAAATGTTTTTCTCCAGCTGCAGATGTAACACAGAACAGACAAGGAGGAAAAGATTTAGCCGAGAAATAATTCAATGGTTTTACCATTTCTGCCCTGCCATTCTCTTTCAATCTAAACACACACACTCTGAACGTGCTCTCCATGAACATTCAAGAGATTAATCAGGAAAGTCAGTGAAAGTAATTCAGTGTGAGCAAGTATCAGACAGCATTTCAAAGAGCTAATTTTGCACTTAAATAATCACATTGAAAAAGAAGAGGCTAAAATTGCTACTCATCCAAAAGAGGAACAAAAACATGTTCAATGTCTTATGGACTCATTAAAAACTAGCCCAGACAGCTAGAGTATTGCATTTTTACCCAGATTGACTCATAAGTGATTAGAATGGGATTAACAAAAAAAAAAAAAAAAAAAAATCACTGGAACTGTTCCCACTGTAAAGTGGGGTTGAGTCAGAAACAATTATTTTCATCTGGGAAGTGGGAAATGTCATTTTGTAAAACTTACTTTACTCTTTGCTGGAAAATGACCAACTTCACTTTGCTTATAATTTAGAAACATATCTTTAAAATTTTTTGGAATTTTGTATTTTCGTATTTATCCATTTAATAGGATAGCACTGAAATACCACACACCACTTCATATTTCAGGGCAAGAAAGAAATTTTTTGTTTTTGCTGGTTTTACTTTTGTTTTCCCCCCACCATGCAAATCTATCAAAAGTCCTCAAATTAGACAAATCCACTGGCTGCCAAATGCAGAAACACACACACACCCCCCCCCAACTCATATGCATTATCCATTTTATGGACACCCTTTGGTTGAAAGAAAGGCTATATACTGAAGTTTCCCAATGTTGTGTTTAAAGTACAACTCTGAAAACTTTTTTAAAAGTTCACTAGAAGATATTCCCACTTTGAACTCACGAGAAGTTAAAGTATCTTTTATGCCTTTCCTGACAGTCAGCTTTTTATGTTTCTGGAATGATCTGCACACAAAATTTGATTTAATGCACTATTCAGGCTTCCAAATAAATCTAGTAGTCACTCTTGCAGACTTTTTGCAATCTGATGGTGAAACTCATTAGACAAATTATTTCCGGTAAATTGCTCTCTTCACCTTGACCGAGTACTACCACATTTAAGACTCATGGAAACATTTTATTTTGAGATAACAGTGCTGATATTACTATCCAAGAACAATAGAGGATGATTATAGATCTCATAGACCATCTAATCTAATTCTTGTATAAACAGGCCATAGGCCTTTTTTAAATTAAATGTCATTTCAAGTATAATAGATACGGTTGAACTAAAGCACAGTTCTGGAAAGAAAAAGGAAAAAAAGATGAAGAATGTGCAAGAACATACCGTATCATCACTCCAGCCAAGCATCAAAATCCTCCCCTGCCACCCTTGCCTCTCAACTGTGCCTGTCATGAGTATGTCAGGGCTCAGGGGAAAGAACAATGGTTTGAAGACAAACAAATTTTGATGCATTTTAAGGCAGAGGAAAGACTTTTTTTTGCATTTTCAACACAACTGGCAAGAGGGAAACCTCTTATCCCATTTCCACCTCTCTGTGCCATAAAAAAAAAAAAAAAAAAAAAAAAAGAGTTAAATGGTATCAAATGCCTAGGATTTTAAAAGTTTCTTGCAAACAAGCATTGCCCAACTTTGGTGTAATTAATTTTTAGGTTTAGGTGCAAACCTGTTGATGCCTTTTCAAGGTTGGTTATCGCATATTACGTCCTCAGCGACAGACAGTGAGTGGAGCAATGTCCCACCCTGGCTTCACTGAAGTCAGCTGGAGTTTCACCATGTAACTATTACCTGATGCAGATGCACGTGCCATGGCAGAGCTACTGTGGAGGTGGAATTAAAGTCTTCCAAACACCACCGGGCGAGCAACTGGGGACCCTTCTCCTCACTCAAGACTCCTTGGATAAGTCAACGGAGATCTATGTGTGTGAATTGTTACCACAACCCCAAAAAAAGGGGTATTAAGAAATCATATTCATAGGTTCACAAAGACACATTTATTAGCTGTCCAGGTATGGGGAGGTGACAGAAAATAGCTAAAACACCAGCACTCTCATTCTGGCATGTTCACTTGCACCCAGTGACAAAGTGGCATTAACACCACCCTCTCACCTACCTTAGCAAGGTGCTAGAAGGAAGTTTGCACAGTGCTTGCTGCACTGCAGTGTTACAGAAAGTCTGATGACTCCCATTTTCTCCAGGGTTTGTTAGAATAGAAAAACCTAGCCCAGAAAAGTCTCTGTCTAGCATTCTGAAAGAGAAACAACAACAACAGTTTTATTTATATATTTAATTTTTAATTAAAAAATAAAGGTTATCTTAATACATCTCTTGCAGCCTTTGGGCAAAATGTACCCTTAACAAGACTTTATGAAACATGATGCACATCTATTCTTGGCACACATCTTAAACAAACGTGAACTTTCTGCAGCAACTCCTTAAATCCATCATTCTCCCAAAACCCTGAAAACATGTAAAAGTTCTTTAAAAAAAACCCTACAAAAATTAGAAGTGGGCCCAAAGCAAAAACCCCAGATCCAAGCATCCCAAAGCTTTTGGAGCAGACTCAAATCCAAACCCTCATCTCATTCAAAGTTTTATCCTGGATCACTGCAAATTCACAGACACGGCACCCAAACAACCAAGAGAGATGAAATCTGAATGCTGACCCGGGTATGAATCTCGCTTCGGAAGCTTTGATCTTTACACTGGGCCAAAGCAAACCTAAGGGTCTGAACTCCTTCCTAAAATTGTTTAAGTCGGGCCCATCCCTAACAGAAATAAGTGCTGGTTACACGGTGAAATGGCGCTATCAGAGCTCCCCATTTCTCAGCTGTCCCTGACCTGAGACCAGACCAAGCTCTCCGTCCATTTGCACTACTCTGAAAGGCAAGGATCAACTCCAGCGAACACACTGAACCCTCCAACACAATCGTATCCCTACACATTTGCCTCCCGCAGCGTGACAGGGGCCCCCTGGCCTTCTCCTTCACTTGCCAGGAGCTGCCTCGGGTTTCTAGACGCGGTTTTCTCCCGAGACACGTTCAGGCCTCCGTCTCCATCTGTGGGAAGGCTTACGCACCCCGTCGGAGGGACGGGTCGTCACCACTCACACCGGGCGTCTTTGTTCCACCATGGCCCATGATGGCTGATTCCCAAAGGCACAAAGTGACCAATCTTTAGACTTATACACAAGGTCTACATATATATATATATATTTATATATATATGTACACACACACAATTACATACATATTTAAATATATATATATACATATATATATTTGGTTTTGGTTTTTTCTCTTTTAGCTTTTTTGCTTTTCTTTTTCCCCCTTTTCTTTCCCTTCTAACTTAATGGTGTAGTCTCCTCTGAGGAGGGCTCTGGTATATGTTCTGGAGACTTCTCCGTCTCCAAAGAGATTTCTGGCTTCTCCTCTGTCAGCTTAGGCTCCTCGGGAGCTTGAGATCCCTCCAGCTCCTGACTCTGCGCCTGGCTGTTCATTTTCTCTTCTGCTTCAATTTCCTCCGAGGTGGGAATGGAGTTTTTCTTTGGACGACCTTTGGGCTTCGTTGGAGCTTCTTGCCCACCCTTCAGCACCTGGAGCAAAGAGATGAACCGTCAGGATCAATCTGAACTCCGCTGCTGTGAGACATCCTTTAGAGAAGGATGAAACTCGGCTTTAGCCTCGAAGTTAATCCTTGACTTGGTCACTATTTCAGCCTCATAGGAATGTCCTGCATTCATGGAGTAAGTTCACCCATTTTCTCATGGCAATAAAATGAAGTACAAACATTACCAGCAAGGACATCTGCAACTCTGGAGGTCTCCAAGGTAGTTCCTACAGGAGGCCCAAAAGCTACCTGGGCACACAGTCCTCAGTGCGACAGACAGAGGAGATTGTATGCAGAATTCAGTTTCTTTCCCGAGTGTTAGCTTTACTCAAAGCCCAAGTAAGAACAGTCATAAACCTCAGCCAGGATTTCCTCTGACGGCCTCTTTGCCTTCTGAAATAGCATTTTTTATTTCTTTTTTATTGTAACACCTGTATTAAAATGCATGAGACCCCTCTCATCTGACTAAAATCCGGGAGTCAGCAAGACAGGTCTGTTCCTCTGTTTAATTCCCCCCCCCTTCACACCATCACTGCAGCAACAAGACACTTCCAACCAAAGATCTGTATCCAAACTAATCCAAATTTTGTTTAAAATGGCAGTAACTTCTGCAGCTGTCACATACATTCAAAGATACCCTCTAGATCTGCATCTCCTCTCCAGATCAGAATACATAAACATCTCCACTGGAGAATGTCACAGTGTCATGGTTCCCACCAGGATCTATTGGACAGTTGTCCTTTGTAAAAGCATTTTAACTGGAAAAGGGCTATGAAGTGGAAAATAAGTGAAAGAGGTGTAAGGAAGATAGGAAAAGCAAGAATTAATGCCATTAGCTAGCAAAACTGCATTGGTTTCCATGGAGTAATACAGTCTTTTTGGTCTGTGCACATAACCAATCTCGCAAGCATTAAGATCACAGGAATGCCAAAAATGCAGGGGGAGATATTTTGGTTCTTCCCTCTGTTCCGTTCTCATTTCTTGCATCCCTTTCCTTTGAATTCTTCCTAGTGCCTATGGTCCTCTCGAGCCTACCACATCTGGTTCAGTATGAACATTTAAAAAAAAAAACAAAAAAACAAACCCAAAAAAAGTGTGTCTATGAAAAGTGATCAAGAATAAAACATTTGTTATAAATAGACACAGGTCACTGACACTACGTTCAGCTTCCAAATCTGTTTTTTTGAAATCAATTTTTAAGGACCATGGAGAAATGGTAACAAACCACCTACCATTTTCTTCCACTTCATCCTACGGTTCTGGTACCATGTCTTCACCTGGAGCTGAGTCAGCCCCAATGACTGGGCTAAGTCAAGCCTGGGAAACAAAACAGACACTGAAATGAGTTTACAGAGGAGAAGAACTCAGATGCCAGGTGCAGCCAATCCAACACTAAGAACATACAACAGTGGGACCTCCAGAAAAGATGGCTATTTGTCTCTCTCTGATATGTGGTTTTGAGAAAAGGTCAGACAGAAGCGGTAAATATTGTGGATTTAGGATGTAAAGATAGATGTTTTCATGGAAGAAACAAGAATATTTAGGTGTTTGCAGGCTATCTGTTCTCTCTTCTCCTCTGAGACCGCCAGACAAGCAAGCAAACCTGAAAGCTGCAGAAGTTTGCCCGTTTTGAAACACAAGCCTGCTGTGCCCAACTGCTGACACTCCACGTTTGTATATGAAGCAGGGAGTTACCGGCACACTGCATCCCTGAGAAACAGGTCTATGGTGTCTGAAGCAAACACATAAGAACCATGACACCCAGCATCAGTCTGCTTTTGAAAGTGCTGCTCTTTGTATCATATTTCTTCTTTGCTACCTACATAATGGGCATAATAATACTTTCTCATTTCTCACGGAGTAGTAGTACATCTAAATCTAATAATTTCTTATGCATTCTGCTATTATAGGCAATTTAGGCTTATAAATGAATTTATTATTTCTGTGTTTAGCTTCAGGGTATATGTGGCAGACAGCCCATAATCCCAATTCATCCTCCACAAATCTCCAACCTATGCAAGTTCATCTGAAACCACTCATTATTTCTGTATTAAAACCCAGGATGTGAAGCAAATGCAGCTCAGAGTAACTCTTTATCCTTCCCCACAGGTGATAGCACCAAGCATCTGGCAGTTTTGTAATGGAGTTGCACAACGGATGGAGTTGGAAATCCTCAGCAACGCTGGGCAAGTGCCCCACAGTCACGCAAGTCCTGCAGGTGGGACAGCTCAAACTCAAGTCACATTCCAAGGCGTTCTGGATCGTGTGAACTTTCTGGCAAATATTTCCCTGCCTTTGGATGGGGAAACACATTTGTCAAAGCCAAGTTTTTAATAAGAAAACTTTTGTTTCAGCTGGGCTCCTAGGGCAACCAGACTCACTCTTAGATTTTCAAACACCTACATACCCCACACCAGTTCTCTGTGCTCAAACTCGCACTCGTGGATTCATGTTTTTCCCCCCACTTCGGATTCACTCTAGAAAACCTACAGGCCTGGTTTGCTTGCTGCCTATGCCACTACATAATGCCTGTGACATAGCCTGTTGACTTAAAGATACCATTACTTGAAACACAGAATCTAGCAGAGGCATTATCCTGTTGTTCTGCATTTCCTTACTACTAATAAACCAGGTGCTTCAGTTGCCCCCCTGGCGGCACAATCTTGTGTCGAGGCCAAAACTGCAGGAGCAAACGCAGATCACAATCCACTGCTTCGCCATCACGTTTCCAGCCATGAGCTGAGAGAGAGAAACACTGCCTAACTCTTGTTGCCTTAGTGCACGTGTCTTATCACACTTTGATTACCTGCAACCAGTTACCATTTCTTGCCACACACATTAGCGTAACCAGCATCGCCTAGAAACCCGAGGAAACAAACAGAGCGGAAGGGGTACATGGACAGGAATTGCTCATCAGCCTCAAACATGTACAAAGCCAGGGAACAGTCATACAATAAAATTAATTAACAGCCTCAAGTGCTTCAGTAACAGTGTCAACCATCTGGTTATGAGCAGCTGTGAGGAGTCAGTACAGGCACATTAGGAACTCTGAAACTGTATCAGACAGCCTGGCCTGGCCCTGCCCATGGAATTTGGTCTAGCTGTGATCCTTGGCTTCTGTGACAGGCAGCATGAGCAGAGAATGCCCATCTTCAAAACCAATTTAAATACTGGGACGCTGCCATCTGTGGAGTTCAAAGTCTGGTGTACCTTTCAAACCGTCTCTAGGTTTGCGAACTTCATAGGAATTGGACAGGTGTTTTTCTTGTAATTTAAATTTGCAGAGTAGGATCCAAGGTCTTTAAAATGCTAAAGCCTCTCCTTAGTTTGGTTTGTCCATTTGGTACCAAGCAGTCCCTAAGAACTTGCCTTTTCCTTCACAAAGGCAAGGTAGCCTTCAACCCTGTGCAACCCTGGCCCTGTTTTCCAAGCTGATGGACAGCCCATCACCTCCTCACTGAGTTGCTATCCAAGTTTGCTAGATGAAAGCTAGTTCAGCAGCCAGCTGAAGCTACAGCCGACCTCTCAGCTGCCATGGAGACAGAGCCATCCATCACCAGATGCCAGATGCTCCACCTTTTTTTAAGTGTGCAGAAAAGCAGAGAGCATTTTACTCCGTACCTTGCCTATCTCTGAGCCTGGATGCCTGCTAGTAAGCACATTTATCAGCATGTGGCAGTTCCATTGATATAATCTATTCATGTCACCTTCGATCCCAGGAAAAGTTAGCCTTGAAACTGAATCTGGTCATCTGCCCGTGTCCTGGGCCAAGAGCAGAGGCATCTCTGTGGAGCTAGAAGGCAGCACACTGCAGCCACTGTTCAGTATGGGGACGGCCGAGCAGGCCTAGAGCAGCCCCTTTGTTTGTTCCTTTTCCTCTTGTAAGAGGCTAACCTACCTGTCAGGGGTAGAGAGATACTTCTGCTTCTGAAATTTCTTCTCCAGGCCCATCAGCTGGAGCTCCGTGAAGATGGTCCTACTCCGGCGTGGCTTTTTTAACCGAGGCGTGGGCTGCTCTGCCTCCGACTCGCTGCTGGCATGGGTCTCGCTGGCGGGTGTCTCCGAGCTCGCAGTCCCCGAGGAGGCCTGGGCTGGCAGCACGTGGGAGCTGGTGGCAGCTGGGACGAGGTGAGGGACCACGGAGGGCTGCCTGGTGATGACGGAGATGAGAGGATATGCCCTCAGAGAAGGAGACCCTGGCAGGGAAGGAAGCAGAGGTGGATAAAGGCCAGTTCAGTGACAATATGGTTAAGTAATGGGAGCACTGGAGAGAGTAGGGAGAGAAATACCTTTCCTGGCTCTGCCATTCTGTTGTTAATGACCACAAGCAAGTCAGTTCCCCTCTCTGGACCTGCTCCTTCTCCCACATTGCATGCGTTTAGCTTTCCTTGGGCTGGGAGTCTTGATGTGCATTTCCCTAGCACTGGGAAAAGAGGTTCTGTGCCCCCCTTTTTTTTTTTTTTTCAGGGGCTGTTATAACACACACCATTGAAGTCATCTACCTAATTACCACAAGAGATTAAACTCAGTAAATGATGAAATCTGTTCCCACTCATGCAACTCATGCTTCTCTACGGACATCAGGACTGGGTTCACTTGAGACAGTTACCTAATCTCCCTTTACAGGCGACAGACAATGGAGTTCAAGTCACAATTAATCTCATCCTCTAGTAGGTAACAGAGTTAGATTAATCATACTTCCACTCTCTGCTGTCTATACTGACCCTGCCGACTATACAGGCAGATGAGGATGAATAGGTCAGAAGCAGAGTTCTTTACGACTCTTAACTCTGTAGCTTTTACCAACTGGTTGATACCAGCCCTAAAAACCAAACCAGCAGTTCTGCTCCAATCCTTTCAGGTCAGGGCCAGTCTGGGATGACAAATCTAAACGTTCCCAGACACTAGAGGAAGTTCTGATTCACATCAGACCTTCTGAATTTAGAGCTATAGACAGATTTCTGCTCAGCCTTAGCCCCAGGAAATGTTCCTTTCAAATTTGGGCAGGGAAATAGGGCCACGGATGGGAAACGTACACTTATTGCAAGATGGCATTCTACAGAACTTTGCAACCAACCTGCACAGTCTGGGGCAAGTCACCTTCTTGCTCTGTACCTCAGTTTACCTCGTTTGCAAAATGGAAACAATCCTCCTTACCTACTACACTGGTGGTAAAACATGGATTAAAGTTTAATATACATAAAGTATTCTGAGATCTTTAGATAAATGGTACTGTGGAAAGGAACATATTACACCAGCAGGCCCGATTGTGAAACTCTTAATATGAATCACCACTAATGAAAATAATGATCCGTAGACCTCAATGAGTCTATTTTGGTGAGTAACTCATCACAGTGGAAGAAAGGAGTTGCCAGCCTGGCCTGTTGATGACCTGTATTCCTTACCCTCCTCCCCGGCTCGAAGGGTTGTGATTGCATAAATCAGGTCCCAGGTAAGCTGCAGTGCACAGGGTATATGAAAGAATCGCGCAGCTTGTCGATCATCACTTCTCTCCACAATCACTGCAAGTTGTGCAAAATCCAGCCACTTACAAAGCAAGCTTGGAAAACTATTGCCAAAATGCTGCAGACCGAAATTTAAGCAAGACTGTGACCGCGGACTGGGGTTTAGGCAGACTGGGACTTAAGCCTTGCCTTCTCCTCCACATCTCTACAACACTAAAAATCAAAGTATTTCCATTAAATTTAAATTATTCTGCTTAAACCACCGAGGAAGTACTTGAGAGATGAGATCAGAATTGCCAAGCTGACCTTTAGCTTGTGTAAAGATCTACCTTTTCTTTCTGCGGATTTTTTTCAGCTGAAGACCGTACTGATCTACAGCATCAGCCAGTAACCTGGCAGAAATTCTGCCTTGATTTACAACCTCAGTGGCTGTTCAAAGATCATAAATCAGGACAGAGTGTGCTGTCCTTTGCTTTACACTACTAATTCTGCCCTCCCTGATATTTATGCACCCACTGACACCAGCCAGCTACACAGAAGATAAAACAGATCCTGCTCCCACAGTCTACAACCTCGCCAGGACCCACTACAGCAAGTTTCTGCCATCGCTGGACAGCAAAAGCAATGCCAACCCATCAGTGGAACAGACGAATTTCTCCGTTACAGCCACATTTGCCAAAAAGAATTACTTCCTCTCCCTTCTTGAAGGGCACCTGCATTGCAAGAGTCCTGTGCAGGAATCCTGAAGCCACCTCCACCGTAAGAGATGTTCTGAGGTGGGTGATGAGGGGTGTTGATGGCCTTCACCTGACAGCAGTCCTGGGACTTTGCCCTTCTCCACTACTGCTCTTCCACATTACTGCTCTTGTTCACAGAGGCTTTAAGAGAAGAGACTTCATGGATGCCCGTTCCGACCTGCTCCGATTGAGGAGACTGAAAGCTGAGGCCCTACCTTACACACCATAAAGGAGCAGGTCCAGCCTTATTATATATCACATACCCTCATCCTGCTGTTAGGGGGTCCTGGTTCAAACCCTCCCATCCCAGAGCTCCTGCTCCCCTGCAGGTTCATTCTCTGAGCCTTATCTCACAGCCTGAAACCTCATTTCTGCTCTTGCACACGGGTGGCTTTTGGCACCAGATCCCTGGTTAATTGATACTTTTACCCTTGTACCCCTGTGTATTTCCAGCAGGGCTCTCCATAAACCACAAGATTATTAAGGAGCAATAAATCACTAGAGTTCTGAAAGCCCTGCAAGGCTCCAAGTGACTGAAACCTCTGGACAAAAGCATTTTTACAAGGAACGCTCTTCAAGGGAGGTCAGCAAAAGGTATTTGATATCAGAACAACCAGGGATATTTGCTTTCCCGTATGGCATGGTAACAGCATGTAGGACTGCTTGGAGCGGGGGGAGGCTAGCTACAGTGGTCCCAGAGCTTAAGATCTGCCTCCATCACACAGAGGAAAAGTCTCTTCAGGCTATTCTTCTAATAATCAGGTAGGCTTAGGAATAAAAGACCTGCTTTTCTTCTACCAAAATCAGCAGCCAGAACTCGGCTATTTTTGCAGGGTAAACCAGCGGTTGATTATTAGAGAAGCAGATGACATTGGAGTTGTTCAGGTCCACGTTTTCAAGTGCTGAGCACCTGAATCAGGGGATACATTTTCCAAAATGTTCAGCAGCCAGCGCAGTGACCTGGCCAAATGCTCAGAAAAGCTCAGCACATGCTTATTTTTGGTGCCCACGTCAGGACACTTCTTTACTTACAGCACTTCTGAAACCGCTGTTCTACTTCTGTGCAAGTACTGGTTTGCAACTGCTGAGTCGCTTCGAGCTCCAGGTGGTGAACAGATTTGTGAGGCTGTTGACACCAAGTGTCTTATATTTGTTTATCATTCGTACTGGTAAGAGAAGCCTTTGCTTATGGTTTGACACCAACAGTTGCAGCAGTGCTTTTAGAAACCATCGTAAATAATGAAAGCATCTGCTGATGTTCAGCCCAGCCGTATACAAGACTTCTCAGCTTTCTGCCCTCTGCCTGATGAGGACACGGCATGGTTATAGGGCACAGAGTAAGGACAGCACTTAAAGAAAGACGTGGGGTTCAAGGATGCAGATATTTTCGGGGGTGAAAGTTGCTGGACAGAAAGGGGCCAATGATTTAGCAGTCAAGTCTCCTTGCAGATAGAGTAAACCAGAAATAGCTAGCCTCTACATTGCACTAGTTAGCTTCTAGATCACAAAGAAAAAAATCCCAAGTTCAGCGTCCTGATCTGGATCTAGTTATCCCAAAGTTCAAAGGTAGCTGAAGTTGAGCCAGTCCATTGTCTCTAGGTACACTATTAACATGACTCCCCTTAAACCATCCGTACAGTTCTTACCCTGATAAAGTCCTGGCTTCCAAACACTACGAAATCTGAGGCTAGATCTAAATTTCACATCCCCCAGAGTTCAAAGGTATTTCTAGACCGACATGGTATTGTAAGAATGGAATAAGTTTTTAATCTTCAACAAATTAAATGCTGGCAAGCAGCTCTTGTCTGCTCAGCACTGTTGTGACATGCTCTGTCTCCCAAAATGGGAAGGAATGGAAATGAAGTACGATTCCTTTCTGTACCTGCCTTTCAGAACAGTTTCATCTGAACACATACTTTCCCGAATAATTGTCTGAGCACCTATTCCAATCCTGACCCACTGGTCTTTTGCACTTGAAAACCAGAAAACTGCCCAAGTAAGTCAGAAAATGAGGAATTAGCTTGCTACCCTGGCAACACACCTCAACTGTTTCCATCTAAAACACAGACCAATGGTGAAGCCACCAGTGGTTTAGGACTCGGGAGAACAAAATGTTCTTCATAGGGATGGTGGTCTCTTACTACGTGCTTTTATATAGAAAAGTCCCAGTTTTATCTATTAGACTAGTCTTAATCACCCCAAAATCTAGGGTAGTCTCAGACTCACTTTGCTGCTCAATACTTCTCAAATACTTGGTAAGTATTAGTAAAATCCATCCTTCATACCGTGCACAACTGAAGGAGTGGTGCTTAAGTAACAGAAGTCCTCCTGTAGTTATTTTTTAAGCATTTGCATAGTCTCAATTTCAAGCAGCAAGAAAGCTCTTATTTCTGTCCACCTCCATAAAGCTAACATCTGGCCACTCAGTTACTACAACTAACCATGAACTAAAAATAAAAAGGCCACTGGATCTGCAGAGTGTTTTCCAAGGATCTGAAAACATTTTGCTTCGCTAGTTAAATCAGGTCATGTTGGATTCATATGCAAATAATAGATCTGCCCCTTGCACAATGCACTGACCACACCACCTTGAAATGAATTGCCTTACTCAAGCCACGCAGGTCTAGAAGAACCCTGGACTCCCATTTCCTAATTACATGTCAAATATTTGTCCTAGAAATGTATCATGATCTAACACATCCAAAGGTACTGTATTTTCTCACTTGTTCTCCTTTTCAGCAGTAACACCAAGAAAAGGACAGCAACTTCATCCCATCTTCTCCAGAAGGTTTCAGTCGGAAATGTCAATTTTTACTAGCCAAAACAAGCCAATATCCCAAGTGTAAACCTGCAGCATTACAGTTTTTAACTCCCTTCTTACCCCAGGTGTGAACACAAGGGGTAAAGCAGCAAAGATTCAGGCCTTACCACACTGGCTCCAGCTCCATGAGCAGGAATTGGGAACACTTTGCTTTTCAGACAACCAACCTGAAG